CAGATGCAAGCGGGGGCACGAGGTGATGGCTTGGCAGCTCCTCTGCAAGCCCGTCCGCGGGGGGCTGTGTGGCGCTCGGCCGGCGCTGCTTCTGGGGGCTCAGGGACACCCCGCGAACCTCCACTGGAGCCTTCGTTCGGTGGCCTCGCCCGGGGCTGGCGGAGCTCGGGAGCCGAAAGCTGGTGGCTTACGTGAAGAAACGCGGCTGGAGCAGGCAGGCCTGAAACGGCAGGGCCCCGTTCCCGCCAGCCCAGGAGGAGTGGAGAACCAGACGCGTCTGCTTGAAAAGTGTGTCTGCACCGCTGTTTCATCGAGCTGCGCGGGAGGGGCTGCGCTGGCCGTCTGGAAGGCCAGGGCGAGGCCCCGCCGCCCCGAGCCCTGGGGACCCCTGAGCAGCCCAGCCAGCCAGCGGAGGGGACTGGACTCGTTCTGGCACAGAATCCTGGTCCTGCGGGAGCCAGGACCTGAGCTGGGTGGTCCTGACTCCAGCTTAGGCCCCACCTGGGCCAAGGGACACTTTGTTCTGCTGTCAGCCCCCCGGAGGCTGAAGACCCCGCTCAGCACACTGGACCCTCGTTTGCTCTGCTGCGTCCATGTCGGCCCAGGGTTGCAGGCGTCCAGTCTCAGGAGCTGACCAGGATACAAGATGCCACTGGGAGTTCTTTCCACCACGAAGGGAGTGCCATGTCTTTAATTACAAGTTTCAAGTGGCATCCAGAGGCTCTGCTCAGAGCCAGGCCCCCTGGTCACGCCTTCACTGTGTCCCCAGAGAAGCAGAGATGCTTGGAGCTAGCCCCTTCCATCAAAGCCGCCTGCTTCCGTCTCTATCTTCGGGTTACTCAGAAGATTTCATCTGCAAAAAGGGTTCCACAGCTTTAAGAAACGTTTGTGGAGACCACACATCAAAAGGTGCAGCCTCGTGTCATCTGGGCAAACCTCTAAAAGCCGTTTGAGGCTCTTGACTTTAGAGAAATGGTTTTGCATGAAGAGCGGGCACACCCCAGCGGGCACACCCAGGACCCGCGAGAGCAGCAGGGTCCCCACACCTGCTCAGCTGAGGGGCTCAGCCGGGACCCAGCACCCCCACCCGCCCCGGACACAGTCTAGTGAACCTTGAATCTACCGCTGCCAGCAAGACATCTACAGCTTTTACTTGGAACCCAACATTTTGAAAATAAGGACTTTTTTAAATTGTAAATATATATATATATA